CTTACAACAGTTCATGTGATGACCATTATGAAGTTAAGGCAACACTGAAAAAGGAGACTTATGACTATTTGCTGGACTTATGACCATTCATTCCAGCATCCCCATGGTCATGTGATTTATATTCAGATGCTTGACTACCGATTCACATTTATGACGGTAGCAGTGTCCCGGGGTCACGAGATCCCCTGACGAGCCAGGTCAATGGGGAAGCGAGATTCACTTAACGACTGTGTTACTAGCTTAACAACTGCAGTGATTCGCTTAGCAAATGTGACAAGAAAAGTCATAAAATGGGACAAAACTCACTTAACAAATTTCTCACTTAGTAACATATTTTTTTGGGGGGGTGTTCAGTTGTGGTCGTAAGTCCAGGACTACCTGCATTTCCCTTTCTATGCAGACCAAGAATTATTTCTACTCTTTACTAAATAGCCTGGTCATTTCAATTTGCTTTATTTCAATAAGATGTTATTATCAGATCAATCGGATTTTATTTCCCTGCTTTTATTTCCTTGATCACAGCCAAGTACTGCTCTATAAGCCTGCGGAGTAAGCCACCGTATTCAATCTCATCCTTTTTAGATATTTTAGAATAGCTACATTTTTCCATTTATCTCAACGAATTGTGGCCCTTTGGGGTTTTATTTGCTAGTCTAGGACTGAATAAAGATTGGATTCGATTTGAATCATCTAGCTCACTTCGAGATGTCCCTAGACATGATCTGGGTCAGGGGTGTCAAACTTGATTTCATTGAGGGCTGCATCAGGGTTGTGTTTGATCTTGGGGGGGGTGGTGGTAGAGTGGGCGTGGTCAGGGTGGGTGTGGCTAGCTCGATATCACTTGTGTCAGCGGCACCTGTGATGGCCCGAGCACTCTGCTAATGAAAACGGTCTCCTGAGCTCCGCTTTTGGCTACAACAGCCTCCTGAAGCACTTTGCAAGTGAAAACAGAACTCAGGAGGGGCCAACACAGGTCAGTCCATTACAGGGTGGCCCTATGGGCCAGATCTAAACACTCCGTGGGCCGCATATGGCCCCCCAGGACTTGAGTTTGACACCCCTGCTCTAGGTGGTTACAGCAGAAATTCTTCTTCTGCTCTTTAACTTCTATAAGAGAAAGAGTTTTGGGGTGCCCGGAGATGAAATTGTTAAGGTAAGATAGAAGTTTTCAAACTGGACTTTTAATTCTTGCTTTAAACCAGGATCCTTCATTCAGAAGAGAAAAGTATCAGATGCTTCCCCCACAACCCTCTTTCTCAATAGTGGAGCTTCTATCGTGCTCAGATTTACTATGTCGTCTCTCGATTGCCCAAATGAGCAAACTGCTTGAATGAGAGGGTGTCTTCTCCGTTCTTCAAATGGGCCACACGTGCATTGTTAAAATTAAATACATTTCCAACTTTTATTAAACATAATTCTCCAAAGACCATTTCGCACATTACTAAAGCAACAGGCTCTGGCTCGGGCTGACGCTGTATTGTTCTAAATGTATACGTGTTTTAAAAAAACATCTGCGGTTGTCCTGTTGTTGTTGTTGTTTAGTGATTTTAGTGATTTATTGACATTTGTAGGCCGCCCTTTTCCCTGAGGGGACTCAGGGCGGCTCACATAAATCANTCTATCTATCTATCTATCTATCTATCTATCTATCTATCTATCTATCTATCTATCTATCTATCTATCTATCTATCTATCTATCTATCTAATCTAACCCCCCTCCTTCTCCTCCCTCCCTTGCAGTGGAAAACATGTGTCGCAGGTCTGCTGGGATTTGTCGGGATGTGGCTTTTCCCATATTTGGAAGCAAAATCTCATCCTTTTCCTTTTTCTGCCCAGCCCAACTTCCCTTCCTGGCTTCCTGGCCGGCTCTGCCCGGAGCCCCTGATGCTCCCGCTCGGAATTTCTGGCTCTGGTCCTCGGAATGCAAGCAAAACAGGCCAAGCAGAGCTAAGCAACGACTCAGCAGCCACCAAAAGATCACTCCACCCACCCCAAATTCCAGCATTCAGCTTTCTGACAGCCTCCCCGCCTCCCCCCACCCCCCAAGTCCCCAAGTAGTCCTCCACTTACAACAGTTCATTTAATGACCATTCAAAGTTACAACGGCACTGGAAAAGGTGAGATGCCGGTTTTTCACACTTACGACCGTTGCAACATCCCCATGGGCACGCGATCAGAATTCAGAGGCTTGACAACTGACTCATATTTGTGACGGTCGTAGTGTCCAGGGGTCATGCGATCAGCGTTTGCGACCCTCTGATGAGGAAAGTTAATGGGGAAGCCAGATTCACTCAACAACTGTGTTACTGACTTTAACAACTGCCGTGATTCGCTCAACAACCGTGGAGAGAGGGTGTTGTAAAACGGGGACAACGGCCTTGCTTAGCAATAGAAACGTTGGGCTCAATTGTAGTCGTACGTCGAGGACTACCAGTTATAGGAAGTCCTCCATTTGAGAACCACAATTTCTGCTGCCCAGCCAAATGGGTTGGACCTGATTTTATGACCCTTTTTTTGCCACATTCGCTTTGTTAAGCGAATCACAGCTTGCTGTTAAGTGAATCATGCTGCCGTTAAGGGATCTGGCCTCCATCCTTGAGTTTGCTCGCCGGAAGCCAGCAAGGAAAGGGGAGAAAGGGTGACCCCAGGACGCTCTAAGTGTCAAGCGGCTGAATTTTGATCAGGTAATCATAGAGAATGCTGCAATGGTCATAACTGTGGGGACCAGGCTTAAGCCATTTTTTCAGTGCATTTGGCACTTTGAAATGGTGGCTAAATGAATGCTTCTTAAATGGAAGACTACATAGAATACCAAGCTCTGCTTTGAAAGAATGCCACTCCCCAAGAAAGCAGCTTCGGATTGGAGGGGCTCAAAGTGCCAACCCACTAGGCTAACCCACCCAAAGCATGCACAGTCTGTACTAGGCAACTTTTTGGGCAGTGTTTCTCAAGCTTGGCAATTTTAAGATTGTAGACTTCAACTCCCAGAATTCCCCAGGACAGCCAGAGGAAATCTGGGAGTTGAAGTCCACCTATCTCAAAGCATGCTGGCTGAGGAATTCTGGGAGTTGAAGTCCACCTATCTCAACGCATGCTGGCTGGGGAATTCTGGGAGTTGAAGTCCACCCTGCTTAAAGCATGGTGACTGGGGAATTCTGGGAGTCGAAGTCCACATATCTCAGAGCATACTGGCTGGGGAATTCTGGGAATTGAAGTCCACATATCTCAGAGCATGCTGACTGGGGAATTCTGGAAACTAGGCAACAACCATTATTTGCCTTCCCCTTGACTTATTCAGCAAGCCAGCATCTGACACCAGGGCAGCCTGGCCATTCTGGAACTCGCTGACCTCAGCTGCAACCCGCAGGCTGGTTCACAAAGAGGAATTCCATCTCAGGCGGGCGGTTCAACTGCCGAGCTTGCGAGGGCTGCAATGCAAGGGGTTCATGCCGGGGCCCTCCGGAATTTGGACATGGACGAAGGCAGCTCAGGTCAGGGGGCTGCCCTGCCCGTCGAAAGGGGAGGAGAGGGACGGTCAAAAAGGTCAAAAATGGCAAGCCAGATAGGCCTGGTTTTCATAAGCCACGATTGTGGGCTTCTTCAATGGCCAGTTGAAAACAGGGAGCATGTTTCCCAGCCCCTACCCCTCAAAATGGCATGGCTTTAGGGCAGTGGTTCCCAAACTTGGCAACTTTAAGACTTGTGGACTTCAACTCCCAGAAGTCTTAAAGTTGCCAAGTTTGGGAACCACTGCTTTAGGGGAATCTACGTTTGGGTCCATCTCATCCATGGAAGCTTATGGATGTCTTCCACCAGCCCACCTCACAGGGTTGTTGGGAAGAAGGGGAAAAAAGCATGCTGGCCTGAATTCCAGGCAGACAAAATACAGGAATGGTAGTTTATTTGGAAGACACCTAAAGGTTCAACAGTTCTATCCCCAGCAGCAGGGAAAGGTAATCCAAGGTGGTCAAAAAAGTTAAGATGGCGGGTGGTGGGTGTGGCTGTAGGTGGATAGGAGGAGCAATGCTCCATTTCTTTTTGCGATTCGCATTTAACAAGGTCTAGGCCAGGGTTTCTCAGGCTCAGCAACGTGGGTGGACTTTAACTCCGAGAATCCCCCAGCCAGCCTTGGGAGTTGAAATCCACCCATCTAACATGGCTGGACTTGGGGAAATATTGTTTTTTAATCGTTTTGAGATCTTGGTGGTGCACATTTAATTTAATTTTAATCCGAAGATTTAAAAAATAATAATCTGGTCCAAGTACTCTGAACATGCTCAGAGGCAGTCTCACGGCATCACTCGCCTTTTCTCTTTTGGGTCACCTCTACCATTTCCCCCCCATTCTCTAAGCTCCATAGATCCCTGAGCGGCGCTACACTTCCGCCTCGCCTACCACGGCCGTAGCCAATCGGAGCCGAGGGGGCGTGGCCAAGACGGAGGCCTTTTTTTAAAGGGAAAGGCGTGGCCAGTGGAAAGGGCGAGGCCGTCCGGGAAGAACCAATTGGCGCTGAGGGGGGCGTGCCCCTGGAGGTGGCCTTATAAGGGGGAGGGCCTCCAGAGAGAATTAGACCTCCGGGCAGGAACCAATCAGTGCTCAGGGTTTGTGTGCCCAAGACGAAAAATTACTGTGCTGTGGAGAGGAGGGACCGCCCGGCAGAAGCCAATCAGCGTAAAATGGGCGTGGCCTGGCAGAGGCATTCTAAAAGAAACATCATTCCCGGCGCGAGAAAGAAGCCAATCAGCGCCGAGAGGGCGTGAACCGAGCGCAGGCTTTATTAGAGGAATGTCCCGGAGGGGTGTGGCAAGGACGGAGGACAGGGCGAGGCCGTCACGGTGAAGCCAATCAGCGCCGAGAGGGCGTGGCTCGAGCCTGCTCTTTTTAAGAGAAGCACCCTTGGAAGGGCGTGGCCGCCGGGCAGGAGCCAACCCCGGGCAGCGGGGGCGTGTCCCGGGCGGAGGCTTTATAAAGGGCGGCGCGGCGGGGCGCGTGGCGAGTCCGTGCGGTCTGCGCCGGGCGGGGGTTGACGCTCTCTTTCCCTGTCCCTGCAGCAGGGCTGGGCTCGGCCATGTTCAGCTGGGTGAGCCGCGACGCGCGGCGGCGCAAGGAGCCCGAGCTGTTCCGCACCGTCTCGGAGGGCCTGAAGCAGCTCTACGCCGGGAAGCTGCTGCCGCTGGAGGAGCACTACCGCTTCCACGACTTCCACTCGCCGGCGCTGGAGCCGGCCGACTGGGAGAGCAAGCCCATGGTGCTGCTGGTGGGCCAGTACAGCACCGGCAAGACCACCTTCATCCGGCACCTGCTGGAGCAGGACTTCCCCGGCATGCGCATCGGGCCCGAGCCCACCACCGACTCCTTCATCGCCGTCATGGGCGGGGAGAGCGAGGGCGTCGTCCCGGGCAACGCGCTGGTGGTCGACCCCCGGCGCCCCTTCCGCAAGCTCAACGCCTTCGGCAACGCCTTCCTCAACAGGTGAGGGGCTGGCGCTCCCCAGCTGGGAGGGAGGGAGAGAAGAGAGACTGATCTTGAGGACTAGAAACACTGCTGCAAGGGGGGCGGGGAAGCAGGAGAGTTTTGAGCCTGGGCTTGAGGACTAGCAACACTGTTTAGGTTTGTAGATGCAAGGGCAGCAAGGTGGGACGATCTTGAGGACTAGAGCCCCAGTTTTTAGCTTTGCAGATGCAGAGGGGGTGGAGAGGAAGGCGGGAGGGACTTTTGACTCTGGACTTGAGGACTGGGAGGGAGCAATGTTGCTAGCTTTCCAGTTGTAGTGATAAGCAGTAGGGAGAGTCTTTTGAGCCTGGGCTTGAGGACTAGCAGCACCTTTTAGGTTTGCATATGCGGGGGGGGGGGCAGCAAGGAGGGAAGAGGACTGATCTTGAGGACTAGAACCACTGTTTCCTGGGTGGGGAGAGAAGGTCTTTTGACTGATCTTTGGGACTGGAAACAATGCTGCTAGCTTTCCAGCTGCAGGGAGAAGCAGGGAGAGTCTTTTCAATCTGATCTTGAGAACCAGATCCACTGTTTTTAGTGGGTTGGGGGCAGAAGCAGGAGAGTCTTTTGACTCTGATCTTGAGGACTAGCAACATCTTTTAGGTTTGCAGATGGGGGGCAGCAAGGAGAGAAAAGAGGACTGATCTTGAGAACTAGCTTTTTGGATCCAGGGAGGGGGCAGCGGAGAGGAGGAGAGGGTCTGATCTTGAGGACTAGAACCACTGGCTGCTCGATCCTTGGTGGCTTTAAGGTAGGTGGACTCCAACTCCCAGAATTCCCCAGCCAGCCATGGGAAAAAGTGCAGATTTTTTTTCTTTGCAGCCAAAAGGGGCACTTTGGTGCCCTCCTAGTGCCAGGAAGTCAGGACAGACCAGACTACAGAATCTCAGAGTTGGAAAGGGCCCTTGGAGGTCTTCTAGTCCAACCCCCTTCTAGTCCAGCAAGAGACCAACCCCCCTTCCTAGAAGGTTGTTGATATATTTAATTTANATCATCCATCATCCATCATCCATCATCCATCATCCATCATCCATCTATCCATCCATCCATCCACCATTACAGTCAACTGGATGATTTAGGGATGAGTTGACTCTGAATAACTCCATGCAGTTTATACACAAGAAACTAGAGGCAGTCCCAATATCCTCACAGTCCCATTGTGACAAGACCTGGGAGAAAAGGGTAGGATAGGATCCCAATGGATGTACCCTGTTTCAGAAAGCAGTAGCATTTCTTTGTATTTGCAAAGAATTTGACCTCCACATATTTTAGTCTATCAGTGTTTGTACAGGTAGTTCTCAATTTACAACAATTAATTTAGTGACCATTCAAAGATCAACAGCACTGAAAAAAGTGACTTATCACCATTTTTCACCCTTACGACCATTGCAGCATCCCCATGGTGATCAAAATTCAGACAGTTGGCAACTTGACTCGTATTTATGATGGTCTCAGTGTCCCGGTGTCACACAATCCTTTTTTGTGACCTTCAAAGTCAATGGGGAAGCTGGATTCGCTGAACCACCGTGTCACTGCCCTGATTCACTTGACTACGGTGGCAAGAAAGGTGGTAAAATGAGGCAAAACTCACTTCACAACTGTTTCGCTTAGCAACAGACATTTTGACCTAAATTGTAGTCATACATTGAGGATTACCTCTTGCAACCTGGCTTGATTGTAGGATCTGTTTGCTTGTAGTGCATTTTCCTGGTTCAGGCAGCCAAGCCATTGTGGGTGCGGTACAACAAGAGATGGTTTCAGCTGCCAGAACCAGATGCTGTTTTAGGGCTCAGAGAGAGGGGCTTGTTCAAGGTCACCCAGCTGTCTTCTATACCTGAGGGACAAGTACAACTTGGGTCTCTTTAGTCCTAGTCTAGCAGAATCAGAATAGAGCTGGAAGGGACCTTTGAGGTCTTCTGGTCCAACCCCCCCCCCCCCCGGCTTAAGCAGGAGAGACTACACCCATGATGGCGAACCTATGGCACATGTGCCTGATGCGGCACATGGAGTCATGTTGCGGGGCACATTCCTCTTCTGGGTTTCTGGCATGCATGCACTCGCAGCGATCAGCTGGCCTTCGTGCCTTCAGCAGTGCCAGAAACTGGAAGAACTGGTCTTTTGTTTCCTAGAATGAACATGTGCTCTGGCCAGATGATCATTGCATGTGCATGTGTGCCAGTAACCAGAAGACTAGCTGGCTGGCATGCATGTGCGCATTGGAAACTGGAAGTTCATTTTCTGGCACATGCATGCCCCCTGGGCAGCTCCTCTTCCAGGTGTGCGACCATCACTACCCTCTACCATTCCAGACAAATAGCTGTCCAATCTCTTCTTGTAAACCTCCAGTGAAGAAACACCCTCAACTCCAGGAAGCAAACCATTCCACTGTTTAATTATTCTCATTAGCAGGTCCGTCCTTCCTTCCTTCCTTCCTTCCTTCCTTCCTTCCTTCCTTCCTTCCTTC